TATTTTTTGGTTGCAGCTGTCATTGTTGTTTGGCGGGTCTGGGCTGGATTTGAACCCGCCACTTTAGGTGTATATGGCTGGTGCCTTGGCCACTTGAGCAACAGGTGCTGAGCCAGATACATGTACATTTTCATTTAGCCTCCTCATTAATTTTATGAAATATAATCACATACCATTAAACTCACCCTTAACAATGTGCAATTCAGTGGTTTTTAGAAAATTCACAGCGTTGTGCAACTATCACCACAATCTAAGTTTAGAACATTTTCATTACCTCAAAAAGAAACCCTGTATCCCATCCCCCCTGCCTCCAGCCTCAGACAAATACTCACCTACTTTCTGTTTCTATGGATTTGCCTGTTCTGAATATTTCGCATAAATGTAATCATTCAATATGTGGCCTTTTGTGTCTGGCTTCTTGCACTTACTGTACTATTTTCAAGGTCTCTCTTGTTACAGCAAATACCAGTACTTCATTCCATTCTATGGCTAAATATTCCAATGTATAAGTAAGTATACCACATTTTCTTTTGTACATTCATCGACTCACAGAAATTTGACTATTTCTACTCTTTGGTTATTGTGAATAATGCTGCTACGAACTATCATGAAAAAGTTTTTATGTGAACATGTTTTCTATTCCCTTAGGTATATGTGTAGGAGTGAAATTACTGGGTCATACGGTAACTCTATATTTAACCTTCTGAAGAACTGTCAATTTGTTTTCCAAAGTGGCTGTATCATTTTACATTCCCATGAGTATGAGGGTTTCAATTTTTCCACATCCTTGCTGATATTTGTTATTTTCAATTTAAAAAAATTGCACCCATTGTAGTGGGTCTGAAGTGTGGGTGGGTGTGAAGTGGGGACTACCAGGTCTAAAATCTATACAGCCAATTTCCTAGTATAAGTCTGAATGCTAGAAGCTGCTACACACAACCAGGAAAAGCTGACATCCCAGTTTGAACACAATAGGGCAGGAAGAATTATACTTGCACATTGATCTTGCATCCTGCTTGAACTCACTAGTTCCAATCTTTTTTGTTGTTTCCTTAGGGTTTTCTATATACAAAATCATGGCATCTGTGAATACAGATGGTTTTACAACTTTCATTCCAGTCTGGGTGCCTTTTATTTTTTTATTTTCTTTTTTTATTATTATTATTATTTTTTTTGAGACAGAGCCTCAAGCTGTTCCCCTGGGTAGAGTGCCGTGGCATTACAGCTTACAGCAAGCTCCAACTCCTGGGCTCAAGCGAGTCTCCTGCCTCAGCCTCCCAAGTAGCTGGGACCACAGGCGCCCGCCACAACGCCTGGCCATTTTTTTGGTTGCAGCTATCATTGTTGTTTGGCGGGTCTGGGCTGGGGATTCGAACCCGCCACCTTAGGTGTACGTGGCTGGCGCCTTAGCCGGTTGAGCTATAGGCACCGAGCCTATTTTTTTATTTTCATCTAATCACCCTGCATCTCAAATTTTAGAGTTTATTGCATAGTTTGAATGTTTATCCCCAAATCTCAAATTGATATTTAATTGCCATTGTAGTAGTATTAAGAGGTGAAACCTTTTTTTAAGAGGTAATTGGGCCATAAGGTCTCTGCCCTCATGAATTAATGAATCCTATTATCTCAGGAGTGGGTTTGTTATAAAAGGACAAGTTTGGCTCTTCTCTCTCTTTCTCTCCCCATTTTACCTTTCATCATTACATTATGTAACAAGAAGGCCCTTACCAGATGTTAGCCCCTTGATTTTGGACTCCCCAAACCTCAGAACCACTGCCAATATATTTCCGTTCATTATAAATTACCCAGTCTCAGGTATTTATAACAGCAAAAAAATGAACTAAAATATTTATGTATTAGATAGATTAGTCCTTTGGCTGGTATATGTTGCAAGTATTTTCTCCCAGTTTGTCGGCTGCTATTTTTTGCCACTAAAACTTAAAATATTCTTGTCATCAAATTTATCAATCTTTTTTTATTATCTCTGCATTTTGAGTTATGGAGAGAAAATCTTTCCCTAAATTGAAGTTAAAGAGGAATCTTCCTGTTTTCTTTTACTACATGTATAGTCTGAACTATTACACTGGATTTCTAATCCCCTGGAGTTTTTTTAAATGCAAAGTGTGATGAATACATGTGAATTTATTGTTTTTTAAATGGCTATAATTTGTTTCAGAATCATTTATTTAAAAGGTCATGTTTGCCCCAGAGATCTGAGATAATGTCTTTATCATATACTAAATTTCCACATGGCTTTCCATCTATTTCTGTGCCTTTTACTCTTTTTCACTGGTCCATCTGTGTACTCAATTGCCATTGCCACAGTTTTAATCACTGAGGGTTTTTAGTATATTTCCACATCTGGAAGTGCTAGTTTCCCCCTTTTGGTCTCTCATTTTTAGTTGTTTTTCTAGCTGTTTTTGAATACTTGTTTTTCCCCTTTTGGTCTCTCATTTTTAGTTGTTTTTCTAGCTGTTTTTGAATACTTGTTTTTCTACAGAAACTCTTTTAAAGTTGATTAACATAAAATTCACTGAATTTTAACATAAACTTGGTAAATTTTCTATTAAGTTCCAGCCTGTCATTATTTAATAAAAGTGTAATATCTTTGGTTATTGAAATATTAAGCCTCTCTCCTTTTCACTGGATTATTGGGTGGCAACATGTGGGGGTAAATCTGATATAAAAGAGCACTTCACTTCTCTACATCTACTTTAATTCCTTGAATTACCTTCTTTTCTCCTTTCAATCCAAGTCAAACGCTCTGTCGGTGTCTCCATTTTCTCACCATCTGTTTTTTTTTTTTTTTTTTGAGACAGAGCCTCAAGCTATCCCCCTGGGTAGAGTGCCATGGCATTACAGCTCACAGCAACCTCCAACTCCTGGGCTCAAGCGAGTCTCCTGCCTCCGCCTCCCAAGTAGCTGGGACCACAGGCGCCCGCCACAACGCCCGGCTGTTTTTTGGTTGCAGCCGTCATTGCTGTTTGGCGGGTCCGGGCTGGGGATTCGAACCCGCCACCTTAGGTGTACGTGGCTGGCGCCTTAGCCAGTTGAGCTATAGGCGCCGAGCCTCACCATCTGTTTTTGAAAAGCTTTTACAGTAGCGGGAAGCACCAGTTATTCTACAGTGACAATACTGTTCGACTCTGGGCCAATAATAAACAGAGCACATCCCGATCTAGGACCACTCCTTGCATTAATGACCTACCCAGCCCAACACCAATGAACCCACCAAAACTTAAAGTGAGGAATGTCCTGAGCAGAAAATAGGAGTCTTTCCCCTTTAGCAGGAGCCCAGTTCCCAACTAAGCATGACCTTACCGTGATTTGCTGCTGCACATTACCGTCAAAAGTAGAACGCGTATTAAGATGATAGTCTTCTAAGACTGTAATGGAGCGGAAAAATTTCCATCACCTAGTGACCTGGAAGCACCCAACATTCTGGGCACTACCTTTCTGTTACCACTGCCTACAGTATTTAGTACAGAAACATGCTGTGCAGGTTTGTAGCTCAGGAGCAAGGGGCGGCGCCATATAGCACAGGTGTGCAGTTGAGCACAAAATCTAGGTTGTGTGATGTTCTCACAAGGAGAGACCGCTCAAAACGTATCTCCCTATCCCGTGGTTAAGAGAGCACGACTTACATGGCCTGCCTTTCTCTTTGTTCCAAGCCCGTAGGGCAGGCGACCTATCGGTGAGGACGATGGGCTGCCTTAGTAAGACCCATTCGGACCCAGACGGCGGTACAGCGCTACTCGCTCCCACCTGCTGCGGGAGGGGCGGGACCAGCCCGCCGAGGCCGCGGGAAGGCGGGCCCGAGGGCCGGGGGCGTGGTGGGGCGTGGCGTGCCGCGGGCTCCACGAGCTGGAAGCTGGGGGTAGTCTCGGTTGGGCCTGACCCTCCCTCACCCAGGTCGGCCAATCGGCAGGCAGCGGCCAGGGGCCGGGGCGAGGCCGAGGGCAGGATCGGACTCTGCTCGGGCGAGATGGCAGCGGCAGCTGTGAGGGGCGCCAAGCAGAGCCTGCGGGCTGAGCTGAAGCAGCGTCTGCGGGCCATAAGCACCGAGGAGCGGCTCCGCCAGTCACATCTACTAACCCAGAAGGTGCGAGACCGCCGGTAGCTGAAACCACAGCTGACCGACGCTAGTTGAATTCCCTGCGGCTTGGGATTGAGAATCCGCGCAGGCGCAGGGCTAGGCCCCCAGCGCGCGCTCGTCTTTCTTGTCCGCGCGCAGGTCTCCCCGGCGCGAGTACGTCCCCCATCCCGGTGCGTAGGTCTCCCCGGCGCGCGCACGTCCCCCCTCCCGGCGCGCAGGTCTTCCCGGCGCGCGCACGTCCCCCCTCCCGGCGCGCAGGTCTTCCCGGCGCGCGCACGTCCCCCGCTCTCTGCGCACGTGCCGTCGTGCTGCTCTTTGGCACTACGGAGGGGGGCGGTGACCAGAGTTATCGCGCGGAGGAGGGAGTGTGCGGGAGGGCTTGACCGACTTCGCCATGTGGTGTTTGAGTGCTCTGCCGTGGTAATAATGGAGGTACTGAGGGGAGAGCAGGATGAGGACAGAAAGTTCTGGTAGGGGAGGTGGGTGGGACGCCTGAGCGCCAGAGTTCTCTCACTGAGTCCCAGGAGTGACAGTTCTTTTATATCAGTAAAATGACCAGAGAAAAATGCAGTTAAAATTCAGGCGAGGTAACCCCAAAGAGGTGTGGCGGTGCCAGAGGACAGAAGACAAACGTGGAGGGCTGGGGCAGTGTCTCGGGAGCTTCAGGGCCTGGCATTTTCCATGCACAGAGTAGGTGAGCATTAAATGCTTTTCTGAATTAAGTGAAAAAATGATTGCCATATACAGGCTTCTCCAGGATGTAGGAAGCAGAAGGGGAAAATAGGGTGATGAGTGAAGCTCCCGGTTTGTTGAAGACCTCGGTTTTGTCTTGCTAAGTATTTCCAGCCAATGTAATATCATTTTCTGTATCAATAAAATAGCAGCTACAGCCTATCGTGAAGGCTTGTTCTAAAGATGTTTTGGGGGGGGGACCAACTTTTGTTGGAAACCAGAGGAAAAAGATTCTATGTCACAATATTAGTAATTCTAAGTAAGACTAACGATCTGCCAGTATCCACTGGTATCTGGAGGTACCAGTGGATGTTGGGACACTTGTCCGTTGCATTAGACACACCATGTAACTTAAAATTATTCTTCGCTATTCTATTATACATTAATTTCTCAAATTTAGGCTGTTATGGGTTACAAGAATAAAGCAAATACACTGATTTCACCCCTCTGTATCTAAACAAGATGCATTTTTTTTTGAAACAGTCTGATTTTGTTATCCTCCGTAGAGTGCCGTGTTGCATCACAGCTCCCAGCAACCTCAAATTCTTGGGCTCAAGCGATTCTCTTGCCTCAGCCTCCCAAGTACCTGGGGCTACAGATGACCTAACAACATCTGGCTATTTTTAGAAATGACTTTTCGCTCTGGCTCAGGCTTGTCTCGAACCTGTCAGCTCAGCCAGTCTACCCACCTCAGCCTCCCAAGTGCTGAGATTACAGGGTGAGCCACCGTGCCTGGCCTAAAATGTATTTGTTTGTTTCTTTGTTTTTTTATTTTTTAGGTGAAGGGAAGGATAGGGTGGGGAAACATGAGCAGGGATATTTAGGCAACAGAGAGCAGAATATGTTTTGACATGGGATTTGGAACTACTGGATATGGATTTAGTATGGTTCCATTTGTTTTGTTTTTTTTTTCAGAGATAGGATCTCTTGTCACCTAGGCTGGAGTGACAGTGATGGGATTGCTCACTGCAACTTCTTTCTTCGGGTGGTTCTCTTGCCTCAACCTCAGGTAGCTGGGATTACAGGCATCTACCATGTCCCACTAATTTTTTTCATTAAAAAAATAATTTGTAGATACAGGGTCTTGCTATGTTGCCCAGGCTGGTCTTGAAATCCTGGCTCAAGTGGTCTTCTCGCCTCAGCCTCCCAAAGTGCTGGGATAACAGGTGTAAGCCACCACAATGACCTCCATTGTTTTTTAGTTGTGTATGGCTTTAGGCAAGTCTCTATTTTTCTGAACCTCTCCTTCCTTATCTATAGAAAGGATAATATCCTGGTAGGCCTATTGTGAGAATTAAAGAGATGTGTAAAGGAATGTATTCAGTGCTTTACATATTTTTGATATGTCCTTAAGGAGTAGTATATCAGCAGCATTTGGATGAGTTGTGATAAGAAAAAATATGTGGAGACCAGTAGGAGGCTGTTGTGATAATTCAGGTGAGAGGTAATAAACATGCAAAAGAGCATAAGCAGTGAAGATAAGGGGAAAAAAGAGGGGAATAAGGAGATTGTGCAGTGAGAATTAGCAGGATTTGGTAAGTGATTGGATAGAGATTGAGAACATTTGAATGGAAGGGGAGTCACCTGTAATTCCAAAGTTTAGAGCTTGGGATAACGTTTAGCATTGTTGGCATTAAGGAATGTAGGATTGAAACTGATTTTGGAGGAGCATGGGGAAAAAAAGATGAATACAGTTCAAATCCTTTGTCCATAGAAAATTAGAATTCATAAACTCCAGGAAGGAATAGTGATTACATAGAGGCAGAATTGCTGACCTCCATAGAATGTCAATGACAGCTGCCATCGAAGGAGGAGAGAGAAAAATTGGAATGATTTTCCTCAATAATAACTACAGTTTTATCCCACACAAACAAATACATACCCACAAGTTGTATGTTTTACAACTCTTACCACATACAGTATATTTTAATATTTTAGAATTCATTTAAAAATGTTGATTGTAACTCACCTCTGATTTTATGACCAATAGATCATGATCCAAAACGCCAGTATACTATCACTAGAACAGTGATTTGCCATAGTGAATGCTCAGTAAAGACAATAAATGATGTCTTTCATTAAAAAAGCATATTCTTATTGGCACAGTACCTTTTTGTAACTTAGAAATTTGTTAGACAAGTAATGTAAGGTACAGAAATTAAACTTTATGCTATATCTTGACTCCCTAATAATTAAGATGAGTGAATTAGTGCCCCTTAGTTTTTCTATTTCATCTACCAGTTGCTGATACCTGTATTTTATACTTGTGTAGTCAAGTCTTATAATTTTTAAACTCTGTTCTGTAACTGTAATGAGTCTGTCTGAGCAGTGTTTGTAGCCGATTCCTAAATTTGAATTCCAAGAAAATGGTATTTCAATTTTTTGGTTACATCAGTAGTACATATTGTAGAACAAGTTGTATGATTATGTAAGAAAGGATATATAATTTTATGCCACCACATACACGTGGCTAGGAGCTTTTGATTATCCCCGTTTTTCTTTTTTGGCAAAACAAAAGAGAAAAAGTATGCCTTTACCTTATCAATAGGTTCTTTTTGATTTTGTTAAATTTACTTTCTTTTTAAGAGCACTTCAGCCCCCTGTCCCATGTATTCTGATTGGCATACTCTGAGTTAGGGCAGTGATGTCAGTCAGTGTCTTCCTCTTTCTTAGATTCTTCTCCCCTCAACCCCCATCTTTTTAGAGTATATTTCAATTTATTTTCTTTTTAGAAAATATCTGTGAGGGTGGGTAAAATTTTTTTTTTTTTTTTTAGAGATAATGTCTTACTGTGTTGCCCTCGGTAGAGTGCCATGGCATCACAGCTCAAGCAACCTCTAGCTCTTGGGTTTAGGGGATTCTCTTGCCTCAGCCTCCTGAGTAGCTGGGACTGTAGGCACCCACCACAGTACCCAGTTATTTTTTGTTGCAGTTTGGTTGGGGCTGGGTTGGAACCTGCCACCCTCAGTATATGGGTCTGGCGCCCTACTCACTGAGCCACAGGTGCTGCCCCAAGGGTAGGTAAACTTTTAAATGAATTATACAATAGAAAATATTTTATCCTCATATTTGATTGATAGCTTCAATTTCAAATTATTTTTTCTTGTTCTTCTTAGTACCCATATCCCTCGTTCAATATGGCGAATGATGTTTTTATTTATCTATTAGTATGTCTTTGATTATTTCTTTTCCTTTGTGCCTTTCTGGAATTATTGTTAATTAGTAAAAATCCTTGATTGATCTTCTGTGTATCTTAACTTTTTTCCCTCATTTTCCCTATTTTTGTTTGTTTCCCCTACTCTAAGGCTTTCTCCTAATTTTTTAAAATTTTTCTAATCACAGTTTTAATTTCTAAGGATTATTTCTTAATCCTCTGATTGCTTCCTTTCTGTAGCACTCTAATATTTGCTAGGTGCAATTATCTTCTTGAGTTATCTGAGAAAATGAATTTCAAAACAGTTCTCCGGCTCAGCATCTGTAGCTCAAGTGGCTAAGGCACCAGCCACATACACTGGAGCTGGCAGGTTCAAATCTAGCCCAGGCCTGCCAAACAACAATGACAACTATAACCAAAAAACAGCCAGTTCTCTGATTATCTCAGTTTCTGTGTTCCTGCTGGGTCATCTTTTTCTCTGCTCTTGCTTTTTTTAACCCTTCTATGATAAACTCCCAGTTATTTGGAACTCAAGCAACCAGTGCATGACCTGCCCCCCCAGCCCCAAAATCAGAATTTAAGCTTGGTGTGCAGTGTGGTTAATAAGCTGACGCTTCCCACAACATTCCTGAGGCTTCCATGTGTTTTCTGTAACAATTTTAAGTGTTAAAGTATGTTACTTAAAGTTAAAAAAATATGGTAGTTGAGAGGTTAAGGTCCTAAAGATGAAAGATTATTCCGAGGCAAGAAATGAAAGGAAAACGGAGTCCTAGTTCTTTGTGGTCAATGTGGTTTTTATTCCACCTGGGTGCAGGTGGGGTGAAATCCCTGACTGAGAAAGAATTCCACACCTGGGCTATGGCAGATGGGCATTTAAAGGGTCAGAGGGGCAGGGATTGGTACATTCATTACTTCCTGGGTGGGACATGCCCTTAATTCTTCTTGGACAGGTCAGTTCTACCTGGGAAGGTCAACCCATAGCTTAGCAGCTAGGGCACCACCCATATACACTGGGGCTGGCCAGTTTGAAGCTGGCCAGCCCTCCAAACAACAATGACAACAACAACAACAACAACAAAATAGCTGGGTGTTGCGGCAGGTGCCTGTAGTACCAGCAACTTAGGAGGCTGAGGCAAGAGAATCACTTAAGCCCAAGAGTTTAAGGTTGCTGTGAGCTGTGATGTCAGGCACTCTACCCAGGGTGACACAATGAGACTGTCTCAACAAAAAAAAAAAAAGGAAAGTGTGTTGACTACCATTTAACTAAAATTGTATTGTACACTGCATTTCCAAAGCTGTTTTATATAATATGGTAAAACTGTGTTACAGTGAGTGAATTTTGCCTTTGTGTTAATTTGCTTTTAATTAGTGTATTTTAATATTAATGTCAAGTTAATACAGAGTTTATGGTGTGGTCTGGTTAGGGGGGTATAGAATTAGGCCTATTTTTAATAGTAACTCTCAAGCAACCAGAAACTACATTTAGTTGGAATATATCAATCTCCATTGTTCCAGATAATGGGGAGATTACTCTATGTTGTATTTTGGCTTTCCAAAATATTTGATGATACTTTATTGTCTACACATAATTATGAATGAAGGCATGGTAACTAGTGGGGGTTTTCTCTGCCTTTAATAGACGCTTTGAGATTCCAAGGGAGGAATGGATTCTGCCTCCTCTGTATCCTTGTTCTCTGAGGATGGTCTTCTGATCTTTTATCTATAAATACTGTCTGATCCAGTCTCTGTCTTACATAAATTAGTCAATTCTCTGTTGTCTTGTTCTCAGTGCTATAATTGATTTTCTTTTTTTGGGTAAATGAGATTTGTGGAAGGAAGATGTCCCGTCCTGCGGGACACGGTTATTCGTGGGGCGAGGGGGACCCAGCCTGAAAGAGAAATGGGCGAGAGAAAGAGGAAGCGAGACCAAGCAGATTTCTTGTCAAGGTCTGATTTAATGGAGGTAACAGGTCAGTTTTTAAGCACTCAGAGAAGACAAGGGGTGGGGTAGAGGAATGCGGGAGGTAGAGCTTGCATCAATCTCCTGCTGGGAATGTAAACGATGTGTCTGAAACATTTTATGGCTTCTCTGGGAAGAACAGCTCCTTGTCTGATAAGGGAAAAGCAGCTCCTTATCTGATAAAGGTTAGCATACTTCAGACGGTGGGGATGGGCGGCCATCTGGCGTCATTTGGCTCCTGACAGGAAGATAATGTGTATGTACAGTCTCACACTGAATTTTAATAGATGTTTATTACTGCTTATTCAGCTCTTGATTTTCTCTGTTCTGCTTTAAGGAGCGCAAAAAAGACACTTCACTTTCTTATATAATACCTGAGTACCAAAAGCCCTAGGCCTTGCCCACTTCAGGTCTTATAACAGCTTTGTAACTTTAGAAAGCAGAAGTTAACTTCCTTAGCATTGATTTGATGTGCTGTATCTCCATGACTTCTGTGTTTCCCTTTTTTTTTTTAAATTTCTTATAGCATAACTGTGTACATTAATGCAATCATGGGGTACAGTGTGCTGTTTTCATATACATTTTGAAATACTCTCATCAAACTGGTCAACATAACCTTCATGTCATTTTCTTAGTTATTGAGTTAAAATGTTCATACTCTGCTTTTAGAAAGAGTCACTTGTACCCTTGTAAGATAAACCATAGAGGTGACCCCACCAATCACCCTCTCTTTCCCCATCCACCCCCCTCGCCTACCCCTCCCACCCCCTTCCCATATTCTAAGGCTATAATTAGGTTATGACATTCCTATAAAAGCTATGAATTAGTTTCAAAGTAGGGCTGTGTACATTGGATGCTTTTTCTTTCATTCTTGAGATACTTTGCTAAGAAGAACATTTTCTAATTCCATCCATATAAACAGGAAGGAGGTAAAGTCTCCATCTTTCTTTAGGGCTGCATAGTATTCCATGGTGTACATGTACCACAATTTATTGATTCATTCGTGGGTCGATGTGCATTTGGGCTTCTTCCATGACCTAGCAATTATGAATTGGGCTGCAGTGAACATTCTGATACAAATATCTTTGTTGTAATTCGATTTTTGGTCTTCTGGATATATACTTAATAAAGGAATTGCAGGATCAAATAGTGTTTCCCTTTTTATTAGGAATAACTTGACTTTCTGTACCTGTATCTTTCTGCCAGTGACTATATTTATGAGCTGATTTGCAGTATTTTTTTGTTTTTTGTTCTTAGAGAATAGGGAAGAACAGAAAAGGTAGGGGGGAAAAAAAGCTAAGGACTAACTTTTGAGTCTGGATAAATCATGAGAGTGTTAACTTTTCTATGGTAAGCAGAGCTCCGTCTCCTGCTGCCTGGGGAATAATTCAGCTGAAATAGTTTCTTTCACCAGAATTCCCTGCCCCCTCCATCTTTGTGACCCTTTTAAATGTTCATCTAAACAGAAGAATTTTAGGAAAAAGGATGGGTGATGATAGAGCTAAGAGGCTAAGAGAAAGGTATATTCTCTGCCTCAGGGAGTTTATGGAGTGGTTAGGGATGCTACATTTAGGGCTCATGTAATAATTAGTGATTGACTCATAGCAATACATAATTGTTAGGTTGTGTATTAACTTTAAATGTAGTAGGGGTTCTGCACAAGTTAGGAAAAGTTAGGGCTTGAGTTGAGTTTTAAATGGGTAGAATTTAGGAGGAGAAAAGCCTGACAATCTAAGGTGTGGAGAAGTTTGTGGGAGCAAAGGTTCAGAGATAAAGCAAAGAGGCAAGTAAGATGACTGAAGACTACTAAAATGAGTCGGTGGGATCAAGCCTGGAATTCTCAAGATAACTGGTCCCCACCACGATTTTATAATGAGTGGGCCTGCCAGAGATGGCTGAAGGCATCAGAGAAGTCAGTATGGTTCTGAGCTAAAAGGTAGGCTTCAGGATTCAGCACTTTTTTTTTTTTTTTTTTGATAGTTAAAGAAGTTGGAGAAGATTGACAGAGAAAAGAGAACTGCTAAGGGGAGTTCCTCATTGTTTAAAAGTGTAATCTTGGAAAATTTAATTGCCACCATTTTCCATTTAGGTGATTACCCACAGTCACTATCAAAAGTCCAAAAGAATTTCCATCTTTCTGAGCATGCAAGATGAAATTGAGACAGAAGAGATTATCAGGGACATTTTCCAACAAGGCAAAACCTGCTTTATCCCTCGGTACCAGTTCCACAGCAATCACATGGATATGGTGAAATTAGCATCACCTGAAGAAATTTCTTCACTTCCCAAAACATCCTGGAATATTCATCAGCCTGGTGAGGGTGATGTTCGGGAGGAGGCCTTGTCCACAGGTGAGTGTTCTGGTATTAGAATTGACATCTGAGGATGTTATTAGACTGATAAGTTGTTAGATCTCTGATCCACTTGTTAAGTTTGGTTCAGTAGGAGTAGTGTTTCCTACAGGGATGAATTTGAATTTCACTTACATTCTAAGACACCCATATTTTGTCAGCTGTGTATAAACCATAATAGTAAGGTATCATGGTGTTGTTGACTTCTCACACTCTTGCCATGACCTTGTGAGTTGAGTTATACATTTTTCCTAAGTAATTTAATTATTTTCAGTATTGTCAATTTTGGTCTGTGTGCTAATGAGTGTACTATTATTAATGGCAGTGAGCGTTTGTATCTCTAGTTCACATCTGACAATTGCCCTCTGGATATTATTGTTTAGATGTTAAGTGTACATCTCATATGCAAAATAATTCCAAACCGAATTGGTGTCCCCTCAACCCCAACTACCCTGTGTTTATCTCAGTGCGTGGACCACTAGCCTATTGACCATGGTAGAAATCTTCAGGTCATCCTGGGCTCTTTTCTTTCTCTCACGGCCATGTGCAGTCTCTTGCCGAGTCTTGATGATTTTACTTATTGCATATTTATTGCATATGTCTATTTGTCTCCAACTCACTGCTACTACTGCAGTCCACGCTGCCATCTCTTCTTGCCTGCTCACCATAGTGGCCTCCTGACTGTTCTTCCTGTCCATGTCTTGCATCTTTTTTCCCCCCTCAATCCGTTATGTTATGGTAATTGAAACATGATTTCTAAATCGTGTGCTCTTCAGGGATATCCACTTGCCCTTCAATTGAAATAAACATTCCTTCACAAGGCTCTTCCTGATCCTGGTTCTCCTCCTTTCCACCCACCTGCTTCATCGTCTAAGTTCCAGCTACTCTGAATATGTTTCCCAATTCTGTTTTACTCTTTCTACTACTTGATCTTTATACATGCTATTTTGTAGCCAACAGATGCTTGGGAGATTTTATCATTATCAAGAAGTCAAAGAGGGGAAAGTAAAATGAACTAAGGGTTCCTTTTTTAATATAATATATCAAACCTGTGTTTGGAGAAGGTTGACCAATACACCTCTGAGAGGTGTATTTTTTACTAAGACTTAAGTGTTTGCAAAGAAGCCTCAGCACAACTTTCTGCCCTTTCCAATTTAACACCATGACCAGAAAGCCCAGTTTCTGCCCTTTCCAATTTAACACCATGACCTGTAACATCAATATGACTGCTGGCTGTGGCAGCACATATACTAAAATCAGTATGATGGAGTGGGAAGGGGTAGGGTCAAGGAATCATAGTAGTAGAGGGAGTGTCTACTTTGCCACTTTCACTTCTCTTGTAGTATCCAATCCTGGGCTCCAGTGGAGTTTAGGCACCAGAAGTACATTCAGAGCTACCTCCTTCATGTTCTGCTTCAGTAGACCAGACAAATGTCAGCATTATAGAACACTTTCCTATCTAAAAGGGGAAAGATTGTAAGCATTTTAAGATGAGACAGTGCATATAGAGTATTTTGGGGAGTAGCCTAGGCTTATTGATAAGGAAAGACAGGAAATTGTAGACTCTGACATTGTTCAAATTTAATGCACGTACTTCTCCAGAATTACAGGCTTAAGGCCTTGGACACTTTCCTTGTTCCAGCTGGCTGTATGCCAACAGCTCCTCTGATGCTTGTCTCTGTAGCAGGCCTGGTAATTGAAATTCTGCCTGGTCTCCTCCAATAATCAGTTCCTCTAGAGCAGTGATTTTCAATTGGTATACCACAGCACACTGGTGTGCCATGAGAGGTGTGCCACAATAATTTTTAAAGATCATTAATTAAATTATTTTCAAAAGAAGTTCAAAGCACAGTGAATATTCTTTTTTTTTTTTTTGAGACGGAGCCTCAAACTATCCCCCTGGGCAGAGTGCCATGGCATCACGCTCACAGCAATCTCTAACTCCTGGGCTCAAGCGAGTCTCCTGCCTCAGCCTCCCAAGTAGCTGGGACTACAGGCGCCCGCCACAACGCCTGGCCATTTATTGATTGCAGCCATCATTGTTGTTTGGCGGGCCTGGGCTGGGGATTCGAACCCGCCACCTTAGGTGTATGTGGCTGGTGCCTTAGCCGCTTGAGCCACAGGCGCCAAGCCCACAGTGAATATTCTAAACTGCTAATGCAAGTAGAAATCCACAGTGCAGAGTGTGATGCTAGTCTGTTTGTGTGATAACAAACACCAGAGACTGCCCACTCAAACATTTCCATCAGCAACAGCACAGGGCTTTGGCCCCTTAGACTTTTTTTTTTAACTCTTTTTGATCAACATAATTTAATTGTGCTGGGGAAATTTGTGGGTTCCAGTGTGCCGTGAGATAAAAAAATGGTTGCAAAACACTGCTATAGAGGCAGCCCATTCCTTTAGAAATAGCTCTGCCTGTTTCAGAATATCTTCCTTAGGTTGGGCTAAAATGTGTCACTTTGAACTTCTGTGGCGTTTGTTCTGGTTCTATTCAAGTACAGCAGTGGGAAGAGTAAGGAAGAAGCACGATCTTTCTTAGTCGCACTTCCTGGTTAGGATAAACTCAGTTCAAGTAAATGTACAAGCTGTTCAATAAATGGAAACTATTATTAATTTTAAGCAAGAAAAGCAGAATTATTCATTATAAGATAAACTCATTGTTAGCCAAGTATTTAACATTTTGATAATTTTTCAGCAGATATTTTCAAATACCTTTTTTGTATCTGGAAAGATAAGATCCTGACTTAAAGGGACTCTCACCTGCCTGGGGAGACAGAAAATGTATGTAAAAAGAATATTTCAACCTGTAGGATATGTCAAATGTAAATCTCAAATGAAAAGATACTGAATATTAAAAACAGAAATTTAGGGGCTGGTTCTTTTGATTGTTCATTTTTATTTCTTTCATAGTATTTATTCCTGCTACAGTTGTGGTGCCAGTGGCTTTTTCCCTCATGTGTAAATGCTTGTGATCTGGGTTGCAAAGTAATCGGGGATTATACCCCTAGTTTCTCAGAACTTTAGTCTAAGGGGCCAAAGCCCTGTGCTGTTGCTGATGGAAATGTTTGAGTGGGCAGTCTCTGGTGTTTGTTACTGCACAAACAGAGTAGCATCACACTCTGCACTGTGGATTTCTACTTGGATCAGCAGTTTAGAATGTGGCAATTTCAGTACTGAAGTGTAAATCTAGCTTCACAGTGTTTGGGATAAACTGATCAGATCTCAGATTGTCCTTGGTGTAGCCTTTGAAGTCTGTTTATCTTTCTGGTTTGCTTACGTTATCACAGCTTAGAAAAGAATGAGTTTTGATGTCCTCAGCTGCAATTATAAGCTCCTAAGTAAAAATTTCAGATGGGCTATTCATATATTATGTGTACAGCAAAGAGACAAATTGGTAGATGAAACAGAGGGTCTATTTCTTTCCTAAATTTATCCTCAAAGTGAGGGCTGCTTGGGTAGTTAGATTAGCCAGAAACCTTTCTATTGCATATATGTAATCGGATTCAGTTTGGCTTAAACAAAAATGGGATTTTATTGGCTCAGAGACTGAAAAGTCCACAAAAGGGCTAATTTAGATATGGTTGGATCAGTGTCATCAGAAGGTGGCCTATCTTTGCCTTTTGACTCTGCTTCCATCTACACGTATGCTGGCTTCCTTTTCTGTTGCCATGTGGTAGCCCAGGGCAGCTTTGTGTTCCATGATATGCTTATACCCAGCAGTCCTAGAAAAAAAGTCTATTTTCTAACAGTCTCAATAAAATGCTGGTCCTGACTCTTTGACCCAAGTGGCCACCCTAAAATTAGTTATTATGGTCAAGGATATAAAAGGCTGACCTATGCAGGCCTGGGTCTTAATGTTTTCATCCTTGACCCATTCTCTGACCAGGAAGAAAGGATATGCTGACTGACTTAGATGCAGCCACATGTCTGCCTCTGCAGCCCTCTGCCGCCCTACTCCAACCACTGAGCTGAGAGTAGGGCGGGAGTGATTCATCACAGGAAAAATAGATGCTGTTTCCAGAACAAGGGGGAACAGACTCTTAGAATGAAAAATCAAATTCATCTATGCTGTCAATCATTTTTGAAAATTCATAGAATATAACAGGCTCATGAAAAAGTCATGACTTTGTCAGTGCTGATTTTTAATTTCTGATCTTTTTGGAGGCTTTTGGATTTATATCTATGTGTGGATACATGAGATATAGCTTAAAAAATGATCATAATGAAGATTTTCTTGTTTTCTACCAAAACATTTTAAAGTAATTGAATGGGGCACTTCTAAGGATAGAGTCCATAACCCTGCCAGGTTGTTCATGGTCAGTACCTTTGGAAGAGTTATGATTGGTTCACTATAAATAATTCACATTGACCTCATTTCTTTACTAAGATTGCATAGCATTTGTAAGAACACATTAAGGTAGTGGGTATGGATTTCATCAAGGCATTTGATGGAGTCATGATATCCTTGAGGGTAGGCTGAAGAAATTTAGATTGTTCAGAAAATATTTTTTGGGCACCTTGTCTGTGCGAAATGATGGGTATAGAGTAGGAAATGGCATGGACCTGGTCCCCAGCATTGTGGAGTTAATGAGCCCATTGCCTTCCCAGAGGCAGGTTTGTGCTGGCAGGCTATAGAGCTTTCTCCTTAGTGCTGTCCACTTTGGCTTTTTATTGAATGTTTACCTTTTTGCAGCTTTTGTTGAACAGTTAGATGTCCCACTGTTTTTTTATCTCAATATGACTAAATTATTCTTATCATTCTCTTTGTGTTTTTCACATTTCTGTTATTAGCCACTTTGTGAGCATAAAGTTATCCTTGCCTCTTTTCTACCCATCCAGTCATCAAGTATAACCTTGGTTTTTCTTTGTAATGTTTTATCAGCTGTCTTTCTCTAATTCCAGTTTGGGGGCAGTCTTTTGTCTATGATTATGATTCTTTGTATTTGTGCCTTTGGTGTTCATCACAGGAATTTTGGGTGACCTCACTGTCTGGACAACTGAGATGTCCTCTCCTGAATTAGGCACTTGTGGGACGTACAGCAAACCCTTATAGTCCTCATCCTCCTTTCATCTTCCTTATTTTCCAATGGGATAACTGCAGCCCAGGAGGTGAGGTGACTTCCCTAAGGATAGGTAGGCAGTTAATGATGACACGAGGTCACCCAGCTCTGTTTTCCACTCCAGTGCTCTTCGAAGTGCTGTTTCTTAACATTCGTTAAGATTGCTTTAACCCCCAGATTTTCTTTCTTTCTTCTGACCGTATACTGCATTAAAACCATTATTCATGGAACAGGTATTCTTGGTAATTGTATTCATGGGAACATTGTCATATTTTCCCAAGGAAGAATTTGTACTGAGTCACATATATCTAAAAGTACACTGGGTTGTGAAGTTCAGCTTTTCTTTTTTTTCTCCCAATTGTTTTGTATTCAACTGAATACACAAGAAGAATAGCTACTGCTTCATTTATAACAGGGCCTTTCATTTGAATGGTAAAGTGTACCCATGATAGGCTTCCTTGGATCTTTTCCAGAATTGTCTATTTTATCTTTTACAGCAGCAACTTTAGAAGATATCCTCATTACGGAGAGTGGTAATTTACTTCTTGTTAACTCCCAGCCTATTAAGATTAAAAGATACTTCCTTAGGGGTTATGGCCTGTTCTTGCCAAGATGGGTTATGTTGCTAAATGTTCTACTCAAGCATAATGATTCATTGACTGTACTATTGAACACTTAAGTATCTTTAAAAGGACTAACCCAGGTGACTTAAAACTCTCTATGCACGTGACTTTAGGTGTTTAAACTACTTTTCCAATTCAATTTTTATTTTATTACCTTTAATCGAGACATTAAAATGTCTACTAGGTTTATGTATGTTTCTGTATATGTTCAATTCAGAGAAAGGGCAGAAATTTTAAGGGGAGTTGGAATTAGAGAAATGAAGTTGTTTTTAAGTTTATCCTTCTTACCCATAAATCACAGGTAGGATGGTTAAAAGCCGTGTGTAAACCACAGGTGAGTGTGCCGTGAGGGAGTGTGCTTTTTAGTCTGCATTGCCTATACTCCTCATCAGCAAGTTCTCTGTTGTTCTTTGTATGTCTCTGTCTCTCTGTGTCAGTCCCTATGTATGTGTCTGTCTCTCTCTTTCCACAAGAGTTAAGAAGCAGTCTGTGGTTCAGGAAACTTGTAAACTCCAGACTGGAAATAGCCGTTATCACCTTCATCTGTTCGGTGAGCAAGAACTATGGGAATCTAATTCTCTGAATCCCTTCAGCAGTGAAGATACCCCTTTAAACTTCTTCCTTAAAGTATTCTGAAAGGCCCAAAACTGGGATGTTACTTCATGAAGATAGATCTTGTGGTTTTCACTTTTGAGAGGTAAAATGAGTCATAATATGCTCTTTCTTTCCAGAAAAGGTGAGTTTTCTCCATTGAAAAATCACTGATTGTGCTAGCAAATGAAATTTTGCCTTTGCCTCTAATGACTCTGGCAAAACATTGTGGTTGAATTCTCTGTCATAGGTGATTGCAGAGACCTCCTAACAGGCCACCTTTCTTCAGACACTTGTCAGTCTCAGATTCCTGCCAAAGTGGCCTTAGGACTCCACTAAATCATATTACTCCACCACTTGAAAATTCTGCCTTCACTGCCAGATTCTGTGGCAAGGCTCAAGGAAGAGGGAAAGATATCCCTCCCTCTTCTCATTTCGGGAAGATGTCTTTGCCCTTACTCTTTCAGTTTCCTCAGCCTGAAATGTCCATCTTCTTTCTCTGCCTGTTGGAATTGTAATCATCATGTAAGGCCCTGCTTAAATGTTTTCTCCTCCAGAAGTCTTAGAATCTTAGTCAGATTTAAACACTTCTTCCTTTGGATTTCTTCTGGTGTTGTGATATGTTGGTACGCTTTGTGTTATTGGACTTTTTTCATACATCTACTTAACAGAGAAGCACTTTACATGTTAGAGCACTTTATAAAAGGGTAGAAAGTTATTCTCTCTTTGTGTAATTTTCACCTGGCAGTCCTTCCGCCCCTCAGAGGGTCACATACGTAGTCTTAAAGTATTTTTCTTAGTGTGTTTTGGCGCAACACAGTACACAAATGCACATGAAGTACCACCTTTTTCTTCACTAAATTAAATGTCCTTTTAAAAGTACGCAGCTATTGAATGCGGTGGCAGCTCTTAGGTCTTCTGTGTGTCTTATGTAATCTGTGCTGGCTCTACGAGTAAGCAACCATGTCTAAGGGACCTGCGGTTGGTATTGATCTTGGCACCACCTACTCTTGTGTGGCTGTCTTCCAGCATGGAAAAGTAGAGATAATTGTTAATGATCAGGGAAACCGAACCACTCCAAGTTATGTTGCCTTTACTGACAGCGAACGATTGATTGGTGATGCTGTGAAAAATCAAGTTGCAATGAACCCCATGAACACAGTTTTTGATGCCAAGCATCTGATTGGACGCAGGTTTGATGATGCTGTTGTCCAGTCTGATACGAAGCATTGGCCTTTCATGGTGGTGAATGATGCAGGCAGGCCCAAGGTCCAAGTAGAATACAAAAGAGAGACAAAAAGTTTCTATCCAGAGGAGGTGTCATCCATGGTTCTGACAAAGATGAAGGAAATTGCAGAAGCCTATCTGGGAAAGACTGTTACCAATACTGTGGTCACAGTACCAGCTTACTTCAATGATTCTCAGCATCAGGCTACCAAAGATGCTGGAACTATTGCTGGTCTCAATGTTCTTAGGATTATAAATGAGCTAACTGCTGCTGCTATTGCTTATGGCTTAGACAGAAAGGTTGGAGCTGAAAGAAATGTGCTAATCTTTGACCTTGGTGGTGGCACTTTTGATGTGTCAATCCTCACTATTGAGGATGGAATCTTTGAGGTCAAATCTACAGCTGGAGATACTCACTTGGGTGGTGAAGACTTTGGCAACCGAGTGGTCAACCATTTTATTGCTGAGTTTAAGCGCAAACATAAGAAGGACATCAGTGAGAATAAAAGAGCTGTCCGTTGCCTCCATACTGCTTGCGAACGTGCTAAGCGTACTCTATCTTCCAGCACCCAGGCCAGTATTGAGATTGATTCCCTTTATGAAGGAATCGACTTCTATACCTCCATTACCTGTGCCCGATTTGAAGAATTGAATGCTGATCTGTTCCATGGCACCCTGGACCCTGTAGAGAAAGCCCTTCGAGATGCCAAACTAGACAAGTCACAGATTCATGACGTTGTCCTGGTTGGTGGTTCTACCCGTATCCCCAAGATTAAGAAGCTTCTCCAAGACTTCTTCAATGGAAAAGAACTGAATAAGAGCATCAGCCCTGATGAGGCTGTTGCTTATGGTGCAACTGTCTAGGCAGCCATCTTATCTGGTGACAAATCCAAGAATGTTCAGGATTTGCTACTATTGGATGTCACTCCTCTTTCTCTGGGTATTGAGACTGCTGGTGGAGTTATGACTGTGCTCATTAAGCGCAATGCTACTATTCCTACCAAGTAGACACAGACCTTCATTACCTACTCTGACAACCAGCCGGCTGTGCTCATCCAGGTTTATGAAGGTGAGCGTGCCATGACCAAGGATAACAACTTGCTTGGCAAGTTTGAACTTACAGGCATACCTCCTGCTCCCCGTGGTGTTCCTCAGATTGAAGTCACTTTTGATATTGATGCCAATGGCATTCTCACTGTCTCTGCTGTGGATAAGAGTACAGGAAAAGAAAATAAGATTACCATCACTAACGACAAGGGACATTTGAACAAGGAAGACATTGAATGTATGGTCCAGGAAGCTGAGAAGTACAAGGCTGAAGATGAGAAGCAGAGGGACGAAGTTTCATCAAAAAATTCACTTGAGTCCTATGCATTCAGCATGAAAGCAGCTGTTAAAGATGAGAAACTTCAAGGCAAGATCAATGATGAGGACAAACAGAAGATTCTTGACAAGTGTAATGAAATTATCAACTGGCTTGATAAGAACCAGACTGCAGAGAAGGAAGAATTTGAACATCAGCAGAAGGAGCTGGAGAAAGTCTGCAACCCCATCATTACCAAGTTGTACCAGAGTGCAGGCGGAATGCCAGGGGGCATGCCAGGAGGAATGTCTGGGGGCTTTCCTGGTGGTGGTGCTCCTCCTTCTGGTGGTGCTTCCTCTGGCCCCACCATTGAAGAGGTTGATTAAGCCAACCCAAGTGTAGATGTAGCATTGTTCCACAGAGTAAAACATTGAAGGATCCAAATTTGTAGCAAATTATGTGGCATATTTAAAGTTGGGCTGCTATAGTGAATTACTGGGCATTTTCAATACTTGAATATGGAACATGTGCACAGGGGAAGGAAGTAACATTGCACTTTAAAAGCACTGTATTGTAAGTGGAAAATGCAATGTCTTAAATAAAGCTGTATTTAAAATTGAAAAAAAAAGTACACAGCTAGCTGTATGATGAGTAAATGACTGATAGAAACTACAAAGAAATGCAAATGTAATGATCCATTAATGTTTATTTTTTATGCTGATTATTATCTACAAAATCGATTTATATTGATTAATTATCCATAAGTAAGCAGAACAAGCTAATTATTATTAGATGAAGTAGACAGCAAGCTATGTGATTAGAATTTATAAGAAAAACAAGAAAAAAATCTTTCTAACTGCGCATATTGTTTGTTTTGGTTAAGGCAGTGAAATCCACTGTAAAAGTTTAAGTGTTCTTTAGGAGTGACACTGGAAGCCAGAATCACTGTAAGTCTTGGATGAATTAGTTTATTGGATTGTCTAAACCAGTTATTTTCAAACTTTAAGCTATGACTCAGCAGTGGTTTTTAAATTCAATTTAGTAGCGTTAAAAATAAATGAGAAAGAAATTTTAGTAAGAGGTTTGTGTGTTTTGAGGGCTGTCTGCACAGTATCCAGCCCACCTTTGGTGCTGCAGAAAGGCCTCTGCTTCTCAAAAGAGCACGTACCTTTTAGTGCTGGTCAGGGCACAGGAAGTAGTGGAGAAACAGGGCACACTTTCTTCAGGTGTTCATTTTGCTTAAACATTTTGACAAAAACAAACACACAAATAAAAGCCCACATTATTTTCATAACAACACTGTTATGAAACAGAACTGTAATACATAGTAGAAAATAAAGAAAATTCATGAATTTTAAAGATAAAAATTTAAAGGTAAAACACAAAGTATTAAAAACCACTTGGGGTCTGTGGGCAGGTCTGCAGATAGAACTTCCTGGGATTCCAGTTACCTTAGTGAGAAGTATGGGAAGTACTGGTTATTACGTAGAATTTCAAAAGCATGATATATGTGTGTGTGGGGGGATTTTTTGTGTTAAAATTTTTTAAATATGCTATTTTAATTTTTCTCTTGATTTTTCTTTCTTTCTGTCTTTTGTTTTGAGATGGAGGGGTCTCACTATTTTGGCCAGGCTGGTCTCAAACTCCTGTGCTCACGAGATCCTTCTGCCTCCCAAGTAGCTGGGATTATAGGCATGTGCCAGGATACCCAGCCCTCTGTTGATTTTTAAGCTATGTTTTAAATTGTTTTAGTGGTTGTTGGAGGGATTCCATCTTTAATTTAGTACAGTCTGCTTCAGATTAATATTCATCTAATTCCAGTTAAATATGGCACGTTTGCTTCATAGAGTTTCATCCCCCCTCCCATTTGTGTTATTGATGTCATATAAATTATATCTCTATGGACTGTAAATTCAACAAAAAATATTATAATTATTGGTTTAAGAAATCTTATGTTTTGAAAAGGAATTAAGAAATGAGATAAAAGTGTAATCTTGTTTTTTAACTTTCCTCTCTGTTCTCTCCTGTGAGTTGAGTCACCCTCTGGTGTCATGTCTCTCAGTCAGAAGGACTTTCCCTAGGATTTCTTAGACATGTCTGCTAGTAACACATTCTCTTAGTGTTTATCTTGGAATGTCTTTTATTTTGTCTATTTCTTTTTCAAAAGAAAAGTTTTGGTAAATATGAAACTTTAGTTGACATTATTTTTTTTCCTTTTAACATTTTCAATGTTATTCTTATGTCTTCTCGCCTCTGTTGTTTTTGATGAGATGTCAGGTGGTCATTGTATTTTTTATCTCTCTGTTTATGATTTTTATTTTTCTCTTTCAGCAGTTTGACTATGACGTGTGTAGATGTGGATTTCTTTGGTTTTGTCCTTTGTGGGGTTTATTGAGATATCCTTGGTTCTATAGATTAATGTTCAAATATGAGAAGTCCTCAGCCATTATTTTGTAAAATCTTTTTGTGCCATAGTCTTTCTTCCTCTGGGACTCCTATTCCATGTGTAATGTATTGGTATTCCTGATGTTGTCCCATAAGTCTCTGAGGCTCTGTTCATTACTGTTTAGTTTTTTCCTCTCATTTTTATGTTGGATTAATTTCTGTTGATCTGTACACTTCTTTTTTCTTACGTCATCTCAAATCTGTTGTTCAGTCCATCGTGTGCATTTTTAACTTCAGAAGTTGGAGTTGTCAACTGTAGAGTTTGATAAGTTTTAAAAAGTTTTTGTTTCTCCTTTGTTAGTCTCTATTTGTTGATCATTGCCCTCATATATTTCTTTAATTTTAAGGACATTAGTTTTCTTTAGTTTTTGAATAGAATGTTCTTTAATTCTTTGTTCATATTCATAATAGCTGCTTTGAAAGCTTTGCTAAATTAAATATGTTGGCCGACTTAGATTTCATATCTATTGACTGCTTTTTCTTTCTGGAAAAAAAGGTCACATTTTCCTGTTTCTTTTCATGCCTTACATTTTTTGTTGTTTTTGTCGAAATCTTCTTGATAATGCATCATTGTATCTCTGTAGTCTGATATATATATATTTTTTTGAGACAGAGCCTCAAGCTGTCCCCCTGGGTAGAGTGCCATGGCATCACAGCTCATAGCAACCTCCAACTCCTGGGCTTAAGCGAGTCTCCTGCCTCAGCCTCCCAAGTAGCTGGGACCACAGGTGCTCGCCACACTGCCCCCGGCCATTTTTTTGGTTGCAGCCATCATTGTTGTTTGGCGGGCCCGGGCTGGGGATTCGAACCCACCACCTTAGGTGTATGTGGCTGGCGCCCCAGCCGCTTGAGCCACAGGCGCTGAGCCTGTAGTCTGATATTTTTAAAGTTTTATTTATTTTTTTCTCTTTTCATGCCTTACAATTTTTTTTTTTGTTGTTGAAATCTTCTTGATAATACATCATTGTATATCTGTAGTCCGATATTTTTAAAGTTTTATTTGTTTTCTATTTTTGTAACTAGCTTGCATTTAGCCTATGGAATCTGTCTCCCTGTGATGGAGGCTGCAGGTATCTGTGCTTTGTTTCTGTGTGCTTAGTTTTATTTTTTTAGACTGCCTTCCTCTGCTCTTGTGTCTACATAGCTTAGTGGTTAGTCAGTAATTGTCTCTTTAAACCTTTTGCACAATTTTAATTGAGTTATTTGTATTTTTTTTTGTTGTGCTGAGTTCTTTATATGTCCTGTATTTTAAATTCCTTGTTAGATTCTTTGGCGAATTGTAAATATTTCTCCCATTCTGTGAGGTGTCTTTTTACATTCCTGATGGTATCCTTCGAAGCAAAAAGTTTTTAATTGTGATGAAGTACAGTTTGTCTATTTTTTCTTTTGTTATTTGTGCTTTTGGTATTGTATCTAAGAAATCATTGCCCAGTACAATGTCATAACTGTGTCTTATGGTTTTTTCTAAGAGTTTTATAGTTTTAGCTCTTACATTTAGGTCTTTGTGTATTTCGAGTGAATTTTTGAATTTGATGTGAGGTGAGGTGGGTTCTGACTCATTCTTTTGCATATGGTTATCTGTTTATCTCAGCACTGTTTGTTGAAAAGACTATTTTTTTCTCCATTGCATTGTCATGGAATCCTGTCTCTCCCTTGTTTTAGAGGGACAGTTTTGCTGACTGTGATTCTTGGTTGGCAGCCTTTTTCATTCAGCATTTTGAGTATGTTATATCACTGTCTTCTGGTCTCCATGGCTTCTGATGAGAATTCAGTTGTGACTCTTACTTATGATATCTATCATGTCATGATTCATTTGTTACTGTTAAGATTCTTTATCTTTTTCTTTTGACAGTTTGACTATGATGTGAATGTTTTTGAGTCTATCTTATTTGGAGTTAGTTGAGCTTCTTGGAATTCATATTAAGGTCTTCCACTAATTTGGGCAAGTTCTTGGCCATTATTTCTTCAAATATTCTTTTTCCTCTTTTTCTTTTCTTCTGTGACTTCTATTATATGTATGCTGTACAAACTGATGGTGTCATACAGATTCACTGAGACTTTGTCCATTTTTCTTTGTGCCTTTTTCTTTATGTTCCTCAGGTAAGATTATTTCAATTTATGTATCTTCAGTTTAGTGATTCTTTTCTTCTGTTGGTTTAAATCTGCTCTCACGCACCTCTAGTAAACTTTAAATTTTGATTTATATTTTTTAAATCACAAAGTATCTATTTGGTGATAGTGATTCTTTTTTTGTTAACACATTAACTACCAAGTCTGAAGCATATATACCTCATATATCTCTTGACCTATATTTATCTAATAAAACACTGTGGCCCCAAGGAAAAAAATTTTTCTAGTGTGGCAGAGTATTTAAACATTTTTATGTCTTTGTTGATGTTACCCATTTGGTGAGACATTATTCTCATGCTTCCTTTTAATTTTCAAAAGTGGTTTCCTTTAGTTCTTTGAACACATTTGTAAAAGCTGATTTAAAGTTTTTGGCCGGTAAGTTTCGTGTCTGAGATTCCTTTGGGATAGTTTCTATTAACTACATTTTTCTTTGTATGTATGGGCCTAAGTACATTTGTGTTGCTATAACCACATAACACACATTGGTTAAATTATAAAGAACAGAAATTTATTTCCTCTCAGTGCTAGAGTCTGAGAAGTCTAACATTAAGGTACCAGCAGGTTCATTATCTGGTGAGGATCTCGTCTCTGTTTCCAAGATTGTTCCTTGAATGCTGTATCCTTTAGAAGGAAAAAACTTTGTGTCCTCACATGGCAAAAGGTGGAAAGGCAAAAGAACACACTTCCTCCATCAAGCCCTATTATAAAGGCCCTAAACCATCCATGACTCCCAAAGACTACACCTTCCAAAGTGGTTGTATTGGGGATTAAATTTCAACATATATTTTATTTTATTTGCTATTTTTTAAAATTAAATCATAGCTGTGCACATTAATGCAATCATGGGGTACAGTGTGCTGGTTTTATGTACAATTTGAAATGTTTTCATCAAACTGGTTAATATAGCCTTCACAGCATTTTCTTAGTTATTATGTTAAGACATTCATATTCTACACCTAGTAAATTT